TTTTAGATTCCACATATGAGCAATCTCATATGGTATTTTTCTTTCTCTTTCTGGCTTACTTCACTTAGAATGACATTCTCCAGGAACATCCATGTTGCTGCAAATAGCATCATGTTGTCAGTTTTTTTGTGGCTGAATAGTATTCCATTGTATAAATATATCACATCTTCTTTATCCAGTCATCTGTTGATGGACATTTAGGCTGTTTCCATGTCTTGGCCATCGTCAGTAGTGCTGCTATGAACATTAGGGTGCAGGTGTCTTTTTGAAGTAGGGTTCCTTCTGGATACATGCACAGGAGTGGGATTCCTGGGTCATATGGTAAGTCTATTCCTAATCTTTTGAGGCAGCTCCATACTGTTTTCCACAGTGGCTGCACCAAACTGCATTCCCACCAGCAGTGTAGGATGAAGAATTGTTAATTAACAAGAAAAGGTAAAATAAATGAAGCTATAGACACCGCCATAGTCCAAATGTTTGGATTGCTGGTTTTTCAGACTGTGTTCTTTGCACTTCTAGGCTTTTATAGAGAGTCTTGAGGGGTTCCCACGGTGGGGTGGTCGGGTGGGTGGGTGATTGGGAGAGAGGAGGAGCCTGAATTCTGAGTCCCCACTGTGCTTCAGTGAAAAGTGTTACTGATCTATGTATTTTATATATTAGGATTCAGCACAGGATTATAAAAGACTTCTAACATTAAAAAAGAACAGGAAAAAAGGATTATGCTAAAGGAAATTAGCTAGTGAGTCTTGTAAGGGACCTAATGTGTCCTCTCAGAGCCTTACTGACCCTCTGACAACCCCTGGTGAGTTGTCCATTCCTGGAAGGATGTTATACGAACATGCAACTGAGTTTCCTCCTCAAACCTTACCCTGGAGTTGCCACAAAAGCAAGAGAGGAAGGTTGATGGATCCTCCCTAAAAAGATATAAAACTGGGAAGAAATTCTTGGCAAGAGATAGAAGCTGGTTGGGTCCCCGTTTGGGTCTGGGAGTGGGGGGCATGGGAAACAGCTTCCATCAGCGGGGTGGGGAGGGCAGGTGTGGGAGAGAGCTTTCAGGCTGTGCCTGTTCTGTTCCCCACATCGCCCTGGCTCCACCGGTGCTGTGCCAGAGACACCAAGGGGCAGAAAAGCAGCTCAATCTAGGGCGGCGCAGAGCCCGGCTGGAAAAGACAAACATATTGAGTCCAACTCACTTCATGAAGCTAATTTAACCTTGATTCCAAAACCCAGTGCGGTTAAGAAAAGATTAGACTGATTTCACTTGGGACCACAGATGAAAAATTCTAAACAAAATAATATCTAACCAACTCCAACAATGTATTTCAAAAATCTATCAAAATGAACCATTTTTTTCTATTGAGAAAATTCTTCTTTTTCTTCTTCTTCTTCTTTTTTTTTAATGGATGGGCTGTTTGGGACCCACTCTCTTATAGAGCCAGAGACAGCCCTAAGGAAAACTTGAACTCGTGTTTCACTCCTTGCATTTTTCTCTTCTAAAGTCATAGAGAAATCACCTATTCCAAGCCCTGAATTTTATTTATAATACTGGAGACCAAGGGAGAAATGACTCCTCCAACGTCATTTAGTGAATTAATCTTTGGAGGGAGATTTAGATCCAATTTCCTAGGCCCCCAGAGCAGCGCTCATTTCTTTCTATGGCCTTTCTGCTAATTCTCTCTCACTAATTCTTCCTGAGGTATTACTAACTAATGTGCTAATGTCTCATTCTATTTTTTCATTCATTTATTTATTCAAAAGCTATAATCAGCAAAAGCTGTCAATGTCCTGAATGTACGAAAATGACTAGAAAAATCATCCCTGTCAATCAATCAGTCAAGAGTTTACTGAGTTGCCAATACAGTTAAGGACTTGTGTTATGAACTAGGAGATACACCAAAATACGAATGTGGCTCTTAACTGAATGAATTCACAGCCGAGTTGAACAAACAGAATAGGCTGAATGGCTCCTTGTATCATTAGCTGCTTGTTTAAGAGCCAAGTGACCACAATGTTCACTCAGACCCTCTGAAGGAAGACATCTCTGGCCTGAGATGGGCAGGGAATGTTTGCTAGAGGACACTGGACTCAGGAACTTCTGCCATTATGAGACTGTACTGGCCATTTTACCACTTGTCCCAATCTGCCTGGACCCCAAGGAGTTAAAGCAATGAAGAAGAGGCTTGGATTTCAAGACAAATCCTTCCTGGGTGGACTTGAGCAAGGGCCATAGTGATGTGAGAAACCCCTGTGGTACCCATGTCTGGGAATTTTATTCCATCTTAGACCTCTGGGAGGCAGGATTAAAGGTTAAGCCTTAAAGAAAGGCATAAAGTTTGTTTGTTTTCAAGTTACTTATCAAAAGGCCAAACTCGGTCACCATTGTTAGAGATCACCTTGATGTGGAACATACAAAACTTTCCATGGTGATTGTTGCAGGTCCCCCACAGGACCAAGATACCCCGCTCTCAGCTTCACATATCTGTTACCTCAACCCAGGAGCCAAGATCAAGGTTCCTGATGGTCACAGAAACAAAAAGGCTTGCTAACAACTAGTGACATCTGTAGGCATGCCATCAGGTCGCACCAGGCTGCTCTGTGAATGCAGGTCCCGTTTCTGATATGTCAAAGACAGAAAGATGGATTAAGAAAATGTCTGACTGCAGGCAGACAGACTAGGCCAGAGTTCTCTACTTTTTATACCATCCCTCCCACCAACAACTGGGACTAAAGCTGGGTCTTCCGTCAACGGAAACACAAAGCTCAGTTTTGATAAGGTCTTGTTTTTTGTTTCCAGGCATGCTGCCATTTTGGTTAACATTTACAGAAAGCTTTAATGATATAATAGATTAGAACACTATTGCTGATAGTAAATTTAATTGCCATGGCCTCAAATTAGCTAAACTGCTGATTTCATCGTAATTGAAACTGACATAATCCTGCTGACTGTGAATCTTTCACTGCTGTGGTAACAGCACAAAGATAAAATTTTAAATTATAATAGTATTATTGGCAGAAAGCACATCATTCCTGCAAGTTGTTTTGTATACCTAGTTCCCTTGAGCATTTTGAAGGCTAAATTTCTCCATTTGAACAGTCCAGCTCCTTGAATGTTATAGATGCAAGACCGTCTTTCACACGGGCTTGGTGATACCCTCATGTGCAGATGGTGACTAAGTTTAAGGCCGCTACATGCCCTGAGTAAGGTAAGATTTTCTGCTCCCAAGCATTGTTTAAGAACCACTTCAAATGGTAAGTGCCAATGCTTGATAGTTTCTTTACCCATTTCAGCTCCATAAAATAATCTAATGGTTTAATTGGCTCTAGACTATAGTCAAGTCCATTTATTTAAAAGAGCAGACTCTTTTCTCTCTCAAATTATAGATCTACTTAGCATGCTATGATTCTTTCTAATTACAAGCAGTGGTGATTGAGGCAGAATAAACTCTAAATAATCATGCAAATCCCATGTCTCCCCAGGGACCCTATTGTGACATTAAAACCACTGGCTAAGGGGGCCAACTGAATTGTTTTCTTCTAGGCCTCCAGTGCTTAGTTTTTCTCCATGTGATATGACATACTGTAAATTGTAGGAATGGGAATTTTCATGTCAAATAAGTTATTTGTCATGGTGTACACCCAACAAAGAAAAGAAACATAATTAAATATTTTCTAACATAAATTCTTTCTGGAATATATAAGTCAAAATTACCTTGTATTGCAAAAAGTAGGTATGATGTAATCCATACTAGCATCTCTGAGCAATGCTCCCTGGAAGCACATGGAGATTCTAGATGTTGGCTTGTTGTTTTATTATCTTGCTGCTGCTTTAATAACAC